CTGTATTCTTTTATACTTCTCTGTATCATGTTCAAATTAATAAATAAATAAAATAAATAAATAAATAAATAAACGTGCTTGTACCACATTCAAAACAGTGGTCTCTGCCATGGTCGTCAGTGCGGGGGCAGAGCTCCCCTCTCGGTTCACTTCTTTAAAATACACTTTAGAGCAATAGTAAAGTATTAATCAGGTTTATTTACATAACATAATTTTGGGAAATTATTTTCCACAAAAAAACATACATGATAGAATCTGTTCTGGTTTTTATGTGCTGACAAAAGCAACATTGTCAGAAAGCCTAATGCCAGCAATGTTATTTTCTAGTGTCGTGATAATACCTTTCATGTACATTATGTGTAACTTAGTTTCATAATCAGAATCTCTCAGCATAACAGTAAAAGTGTCTACATTTTTAATTATAATTAGTTGAGTAACATTCCAATATATTTCACTAAACCAGAATCACCAGCCGTAGGCGACTCATTATGGCAAGGTACAATGGTATTGAAATTTGTAGTGGTAGAAGACATATCTTTGTTTATGGAATAATTCAGTAATATCGTGAATCAGATGTTTGCTCTCCTGTGAAGTGACCCTCTAACCCTTCCTTCCCCCCCCCCGCCTCTCCCTCTCCTCTCCTCTCCTCTCTCTCTCCTCTCTCTCTCTCTCTCTCTCTCTCTCTCTCTCTCTCTCTCTCTCTCTCTCTCTCTCTCTCTCTCTCTCTCTCTCTCTCTCTCTCTCTCTCTCTCTCTCTCTCTCTCTCTCTCTCTCTCTCTCCCCTTTCTCTCATCCTCTCTTCCTGAGCTAGCGAGAAAACCCATATCTGCCCTGGGTAAGATGCATTCTCTAGCCGCTGCCTTGAAGATCTTTGTTATTCGTCGTCTTCGCTTATAGAGGGCACTCCTCTGTCTTCGCTTATAGAGGGCACTCGTCTGTCTTCGCCTATAAAGCTCAGCAATTATTTGGATGAAATATAGACAACAGAGAAATTAGATCAAATATAAATGACCTTAAATGGATGAACGATACATAAAACATTTCTTAGGTGGTGAAATAAGAAGCATTTACAGATGAATCCAAAGAGAAGACGGTCGCCTCATTAATCATAATCAAATAATCATATCAAGAAGTATAAATAATAGAAGTCTTGGGTCATTCTTCAATTTTATATATCTTTGGTAAGGCCTAATTTACATTATGTTGCTCGGGTTTGGTCTCTGTATTACAGAATAGAAATAAACGATCTGGAAAATATACAAAGAATGACGAGGTTGATAGGCCGAAGGCACCGAATTTGTACTCTCTGGAAGGACGTGGAATTGGGTTGATATTTGAGTGAAGTGTGCAAATGGAATAGAACTAAAGAATTCTACCATTCTTGAACAGTTGATTTGTTTGGGCTTAATCCTATTGACTGTCTGAGGGTCATTAAGGCCGCAATTTTACTTGTATTATCACCGGTAAAGAATACTGTAACCCAAAAGAAAAGGATTCAAATAAACTCTCAGATACAACCTCTTGGTGTAGCCAACATACTCTAGCTTGACGGCGTGCTTGCTTTTGCCTTACTATATGTCACTGATAAGAAATAGGTTAATAACGTTCGCAGCGAAAAGTCCCAGGTGCTATACTACAGACAGTCTGTCATGCGTGACCTTGTGCAGTCAGGAACACGACGTTTTAAGACCCGACATATTTTTAAGATGCACAAATTGAACCATCGAGAGGGTGATAGTATGATTAAGACTCACTTCCGAGGTGTTCTTCCTTAACAGATTAACAGAATGAAAGGAGGGAGGATGGGGGGTATGAGAGATTTCGTTGATCTACCCCGTCCCTTCACCTCCAGTCTATGAATCGGTACAGGAAATTGAGTAATGAAGGAGCAGCGACCTTACCTTCCTGTCTCTGGGGTCGAGTTCGTGAAGCAGGAGAGGCCGTGAGAGGCTGGGTTCATGCATTTTTTTTTTTTACTGAACAGGAAACTGCTATAATTTTACGGCTGAGTATAACCTATTGTTTGCGTGCTCTTGTTTCCCCATTTACCAGGGGGAAGGTGTGGGGGAAGGGGAAGAGGAGGTCAATCACAGCCGCCAGTTGGTGCCCCAGATACAAGGTTGGTGCAGACAGGGCAACCCATCACCGTCAATAACCACCATACACGGCGGATCATCATCCTTGGTTGATCAGGCAATGAGGACTGCAGGTGTGTCATTCTGGATCCTGGCTACACCTGCCTCGCCACCACTGGCGCTACTCCTGTAGTACAAAACATTTCAACCACTGAATCCAACCGGAAGCCAGTTGTCACTTTGATGTGTCCCACTATGTAAAGGGTTTTGCCATGGCCCTCTGTAGGGTATTGCCGTGGGTTTCTATAGTGATCCACTATGGTTCTCAATAAGGCTCTAAGTAGCCCTTGATAGGGCCCTGTCAGGCCCCTCCATAGGGCTTTGTCCTGACCTGCTATAGGACTGACGTGGCCCTTTGTATGGCTGCCGTAACCCTCTGTATGACCCATATGTATTTAGCGTTTCTTTTCTATAATAATGATATGTTGATTGAGGACTGGCCACTCAGTCAACCTGTAGATGCTCGTGTTCCTCTCAGTGAAGCTTATGGCGTGCCGCGCATTGTCGCATAGATTTTTATACCTGTCCGCTGCTTCAGGCTTTTCCTTTAACTCGATTCTTATATCTGAGAACCTATAGTAATCTTGGGGTAATTTAAGATATGTATGAATTTTGCTTGTGGTGATTATTTTAACTAATGTGAGAATATTATATTTTATTACACAGAATGGTGAGTGATGTGGTCCAAGCGCTCAGTAAATTTTTAAACTTCCCTGAGGAGATATGTAATGAGGTTTTAAAATTTTATGTATTTTTTATATAAAGATTGAACTGTACGATACGGCTGATATGGTGGTGGGTTTTGTTGGTGGGTTTTGTTTCTTAGCAAACAGGACAAGTGTCTACGTACACAGGTTTTTGTCATATGATGATCCGTGGAATGGTTAAGAATCCACTGGTGTTGTAGGATCTATAGACAGTTTGTAGTGATATTCATGTTTAAACTATTTGAAAAGCAAAGGATCACTACATAGTGTTTTAAGATAATTATTACTACGATTAAGTCCTTGTTTTCCATTAGTCATTATTAATATTCACTGAAGCGTCATAATTAGCCTACCATAGTCGGCATTTAGATCTTATAACCACTGGGGCCCGATAATTTTGGAGGTAGGCCTATGAAGTCGATGCGCACTAAAAGGAGATGACAGGGAAATGATGGAACGTTCGCATTATCTTAAGCTCTTTTACACTTGAATCTACAAGCTAAGAAGTGTTATCTTTCCTCGGCTTATTTCAAAGCTCAGCCCTATCAAAAGTATACCACCCTTCCCCAGGATGCCACACACAACAATGAACAAATACCTCTGTATCTATTTACCGCTATGTGGACATGGGCAGCAGAGAGTGTAAGGAAACTTGCCCATTTATCTCACCTTATCCGGGAATCCAACTCAGGTACTTTCGATTGAGTTGCTCTACCACTGAACAATGTCTTATGTCCCTAATAAAGTGACATTAATAAGAGCTGATATTTATCTTTTTTTTTAAATAGTTTCAGAACGAGTCTCATTTTAAAGTAAGGTTATCCTGGCTTGATATTTCTTATAATTAAGTGTTAATTAGTCCAAACTGTTAGGTCACCATCTTGTAAGTTAATGAGTGTGGAAGGGGAGAGACAGTGTTGTTCCTGAGGGCGAGGGACCAAGTACAATTACTTTTATTATCATTATATTATATTAATGGGAACCGCTTATGGAAGCTTCCTTGATGCTGATGAGAAGGCTCTTGATCTAAGGAATTGTACCTGAGCCCCTGTTCCTTGGATCGAACCTAAATACCATTTCCCCAGGAGCTGTATGACTGCTACGGGTTGAGCACTTCCCTAATGAATGTAATAATATATTAATGGAGGAAGCTCTAGGATCATACAGCGTCTAGGAAATACTAGAAGTATGCAATCACCTTCAGGCTCTAGAAAGGGTATATAGCTCTAATTTCTCGGATGAAAAGCGTTACACTAACATCAAGGTACCCTGTTCTTGAAGGGACAGGATCCCCTCAGTTACAACCTTTGTCTCCAGGTGATGTAAGATGACTTCACATGGTGTAATAATTTATGCATATTATGAGAGTAGTGTAAATTATCAAGCTGCAGGAGTATGTACTCCCATCACATGTATTACGGTTATTTATCTTACAATGTTTTTTTAAGAAGGAATATCTAATAAAAGTTTGTATTTAAGTATCGAGAATTCATATTTCTTGAAATATAATATGTTTATGTTCTGTAAATATAAAAAAAAATGATATATGACAAATTACATAATTTATTAGCATTAAACAAAATTTAATTTGATATGAAATATTTTAGAAAAAACGTCATAATTTATTATTTGATAAATTAGGTCATGTAAAATATTGTTTCTTATATTTTTTTTAAAATGCAATAATCATTCACAAGATAACAAACATTAAAATTATATATTATAGAACAATAGGACAAATTTATATTAAGTCATTCCAGCTCGACTAGGTTTTCCCATACGAATTTTTTGGAAGAATTTAAAAAAAGACAGTAAATGTGTAGCTGTTGTTAATGTTAGTTTGTTAAGTTTAAAGATACATGTGACCCACTGTACGTAGGTCATTAATGTTCACCTATATAATAACACTCAACAATGTAGATTTTTAATATATACACAGTGATAAACAGAGGTGGATAACAACCTTGTTCGTAAAAGTAATAATATTATATATTATGACTAATAATCTTACTCGTGAGATGGAAATAACATTCTTTAACATTCCATCAACCATACTGACTTAGAGAATGTTATAAAATATGAGAATAATAGAAATAATATAGTGTTAAGAGGGTGTTGGTGAAGAGTGGCAGCACAGAGGAGGACCCTGGCAGCCACCACCACCAGTTACTACCTAACCTTCATACAGAGTGTTGCTCTGCTCTCCTCTCACACCCACATCACTGAGATACTTGTCTCTTTGTTCTTTTAGTAAGGTGTAGATCAGTGCATGTTAGATACACACTCCACAAGCTCAGATACATCCACCAGCCATCATAATGTTTAATAATGTGTGTAGAGCACATGTCTGCCGGGGAAATGTGCCAGTGTGTCAGTGAAGGTTTACTTCACAGGTCGGAAGTAAACCTCGTCTGCTGAATTATTCCAGTTTACATCAATTTTTGATGGGGTTTAAGGAATCTGACATTACATTATAGACGCTTAGTACAACCGTATGATGTTTCTAAGGAAGGTGTTGACATATTTTAGACGCCAGTGTTTGAGTGTTTGAGGGAAGTGTAGAATATTGTGTTGTGGCCACCAATGTCCCACAAGCAAAATTCATTATTAATTTGTGAGTGAAGAATGCAAGAGACGACGTACTAGCGGGGTGCAGTGCGTCATGACCACCCCGATATACCGACTCCTCCCAGCACTGACCGTAAGTACCGGAAGTGTCCAGGTGACACTACTCAACCCCCCCCCATCAAGGGTGGTTCCTTGATGCTGGTGAGGGGCTCTTGATCTAGGGAATTGGATCTGTGCTCCAGTTACCTGAATTGAAACTGAATGCGCTGTATAATCCTACGGGTTTAGCGCTCCCGCATGATAATATTCAACCACCCACACCCAAAAATTCTCCCCTAATGTTTACTTTATCCACAATTTTTTAATGTAAATTCTCCGGTATTAAATGCTCTGTGTAATGAAGTGGGTCAGTGGGAAAATATTTTGTAACCAAATGTTGCCTAATTTAGTCTTAGGGCTGACCTAGGTTTACTTTGTTGGGTCAGGTTATTGAATTTCTTTATCTACTTTATCTACTTTAAAAAAAATAAACTTTACATTTCACACACCACGTTAAAGAATATTCCAAACAAATTATATCACTATTTTGCCAGTTATCGCCTAAATAAGCAATTCCCACAACAAATAACGTATTTTCCGTTTCATAGATACATTATGGTTATATAAAAATGCTATTTTTTTTTCTTTGGGAAAATTATATAATGACCCCATTCTCCACCCCAACACAAATATACGCAAACTCTCCTCCTCAGAACTTTGTATAGCCCACTACAGACCCAGCATATATATATACCTCACCTTCCCGCCCTCAGCACATATATACTCGCTACCCCATCTCTTTCAGCATTATTTTTTTTTATGGAGATCCTGTCCTCTTAATAAATCACGCATTATTTTCTTTAATAGAATTGAGCATGCTATCTATACCCCGGTACAAATTATCTTGTGGAAATTATTGCGAGAGATTTTAGCAAAATTAATATATTTTGGGACGTGCAACTCGCCAGGGCCAGTAAATATTTAGTGTTGACGCTCCTGGATAATAACAGTGTAAACAAAGACGAGCTGAGTGTAAACAAAGATGAGCTGAGTGTAAACAAAGACGCGACAGTCCTATATCTACTGTTGGCGAAGCAAGGTTGTTAAATTATTTTGAGTTAGGCTTTTGACATTAGCACAATATAAAAACAATGACAAAACTAACTTTATATATAACTTTTTCAAGGTAAATTATGGTCGCTCAAATGGATCGGCTCTCCATAATTACCTTATATATATTGTAATGTTTATATAGTGTATATATACAGTATACACTTAGTTCTTGGTTCATCCCATTGTGTATATACCCCCTTTCCATACACCAGCAAATTTGCATTTTTTCCATTCTTACCCCCAGCACATTTGTATAATTGTATATTCCCAGTACCTGTATACAGGACAAGGGGTATACAGGACACGTCTGTATACCCCTTGTTTCACCGCCAACGTATTATATATCACATATCCAGGATTAATATATCCTTCTGAATTACCCAAGCATACAATTTTCTATCTAGTTCCTTCCTTTAGTTTCATTTCTTGTATATATTAGATTAATAAAGCCACGTTTCTTGTTCACATTACTGTCTAAGAATATTAATCATGCGTTTTATATTAATAATAACACCAAATACCCTGTACTATATAAACGACCAAAGGCTATACAAAATCCCATACCTCTCCGATTTTATTACATGTACGTACATGTGACCTGAATCCAGTTAAGAGAAAATATCTTTAAAGAAGTGTAGCGGAGAGTGACTCACGAACACTTAGGAATGTGAGCCAGAAATGGTTGACGAACCACTGAACGAGAAAATGGTGACACGTAAATGTTTTTTTTTTCCTTTATGACTTTACTTTTAAGATTTCTCTTTACATTGTTGATGTAGCTTTGTGTGTGTGGGGGAGTGTAAGTTTGTATAATGTTGCGCTGTGTTGTTTTTTTGTGTTGCGTTGTGTAAGCATTTAATGTTGATAGACAACTTTATTAAGTGTTGTGTATTAGGCTGAACATGGTCATGTATCTCCTCCATCAGTTGGCTGCGATGCGCCGGTCATTAACCTCGTCCACTGGAGTTAGTTCTTTGACTCGACCAAACCTGTGTATATAGATATATTTTTTATATAACCACAAAATGTGTTTTGTTGAAGTCTTATTCGCTATAGATTTAAGGTTCATAAATCATACATACGTAGGTCATGTTGTATCTTGAGACAATCATTTACGATACTGTGTACCATAAAGATTTAAGGGAAATGTTTATGTACATTGAGTGAAACTCTTCAGTGTAAATACACAGGAGACATTTGCATGTCATGTGTAATTTTATATATGTATGTCTATGTATATATGTAAATTTACATTTATAAAATAAAATAGGACACTGGAGTCATCAGAGGTATAACTCAAGAGCTGAGAAGAGGTTTGGACATTAAAAAGACTGGAGCAGAATAGGGTGACCGATAAAATGTATAAATTTAGGGTAGAAGGCAGGTGGGGTAGAGGTCGACCCAAGAAGTGTTGGAGGTAGAGAATACAAGAGGTTTGAGTACTAGGGGCTTGTGCATCCAGGAGGTTTGAGCGAGTTTTAGATCGAAAATTTGAATTGTGACGTCTGAGCACTTTGCAAGACTTATTGAATTACTGGTGATGTTTCCTTTCGTTAAAAAAAAAAAATATGAAATGCCAGTGATCAGACCCATAAACTTGCTTGCCATAAAATCACCAGCACAACTTCTTGTCAACCGATTGATAACTTATCAAGCCCCGAATATTTTGGTGTGCGCGTGTACTCGCCTATTTGTGGTTGTGGAGATCGACTCTCAGCTGTGTGTGTGTTGTGTGTGTAAAATAAAAAAAATAAGTCTTGGACAGACTTTAAGCTAGATATGACATTTATATTTAATCTTGTTAATTTGATTTTGCAAGCAGACATTCGACACTTCTGATTCTTATTTCTCTTATTGCCATGGGGACACACTCGACTAGTAAGGGTCATAAAGTACCAGAGGTATGGCTGAATTCTTAAATTTATGGTGGAGCGCTCAACCCGCGGGGCTAACGCAGCACCTATGGTAATGGAAGGCAATAAATTCGCTCCAAGGAAAGGAGGGATATGTCTAATTCCTCGGATGAAGACCCCCCCCCCTGGCCGGTGTCACGGCACCTCCCATAATGGGAAGAATGGGTAAAGTGGGTGGCAATAACAGGTTAGATTTAGATTTTGCCACCGAAGTGGCTAGTTTATTGTGCACCCCATATCCATCCTGTGGACGGTAGCGCGAGAGCATATGGATACACAAAAGGCGTGATCCAAGGAAGGGAAGAATGCCTCCAGTTCAGAGTTCAAGAAGTCTGGTGATCTGAATAGTCAGCAAATAGTAATCCTAATACTCCTTCGTTAGAAAAGTAAACCTTACAAATATACCTGCGGTCATTAGCAAATTTTGATCTTGCTACAGCCATTTTTCTTATTTTTGTTTCAAACGCGTAAATTAACTAAGATTGTTATTATTATAATTACTTTTATTATTTTTTCATCGAGACCTGAAATTGGTCTCAGTGGAAATAATAGTAATTAGAATAATAACAATCTTAGAAAATGACAGTGCCTAGATTTTAATGTATTTTGTCATTTACTTGTGAATAAACGGAAGCATTAACATTGATAATATTCTTGCGATTGTTACAACAAAATTGTTCAGCCAACACATTGGTAGCGTTGAAGGAGGTTCTTGCAACTTGCGTCTCAACGTTGGCAACACTGCAAGCGAAATCGGGGTTAGTGGGGTGGGACACCCGTTGGCGGCGCCTGTCCCTTTCCTTGCACATGGCTCAGGCTTCGGCATACGTACAATTTTATTGTCAGTTTTTTACAGCAGTCTTCCTGCCATATTACTAATAAAGTATTTTGCAACACACTAGTATTCAAATACAACGCGGTTAAATATAATTTAGTTAATTACGACTGCAAAATGTGGAGAGAGCCTGTCAGGGCTAAGACCGGTTTCACTTTTTCAAGGAAGCCTCAGCTGTCCCGTTACAGGACTTTTACTCCTAGACAATAAATATCGTTCATACTTGGAATATTATATTAATAAAAGTTGCTGGTGTGTAAATCACGCATTTGATATTTACACGAATTATGCAAATACTATTTTGTAAGGTGTGTATGTGTGGCAAACCGAAGACAAGGCCGGCCAGCCTTACACAGCAACTCTTGGTTCAGAAGAGAAAGTTGGATCTGATAGCGTCAAAAGAAAGTTTTGAACAATGACACGACCAGCGACAAGGAATGGCGCTGTTCATGCTAAATGGGGATAATTACACGGTGATCAACAACATTTGCACCTCGTATCTCAAATAATCATAATAATTATTTTCTTTGGTTAAAAAAAAACGCCTTAAACATTATGATTTACCTTACGCCATTTTTTTTTAAAAAGCTGCTCTTTTGTTTTTGTTTATATCACAGGTCAGCTTAATTATAGGCTTAACGGGTAATAATGTCCTGTAGGATAAAGATGGTTTCAAATACCGATAAATATGTAAATAAAATATACCTGCTGTTTTATATTTCTCGTTTTAATATTGGTATATAATACTGACAAGTAGATATATAAGACACGTGTGCAGTATTTTGGTATCTATTTCAAACTTTTCGCCTGCACAGTAGGCTTCGTCAGTCAACTAACATTGATATTTACTGAGATGTTTGGCTCCGAGGAACGATGGAGCTCCACTGGGCGAGACGTCGCCTTATTAAATATTCTGGTTGAAGATATAAACTAGCACTTAAAACATTGTAATGTGGAAGAGTTTAGGTGGTGTGACCTTGTTCACTTTATATTATACACCGTAGCATATTATTCTAGGTGTTTTACCATAGCCTTTAACCATAACCTCTCTGTTTTCATCATAAGATAAGATTTTGTAATAAAGTTGGTAGAATTACCGACAATATGTAAAGTAAAAGGACACAAGTGCAACTAATGTGACATTTTTGTGGCAACGTTTCGCTCTCCAGGAGCTTTATCAAGCCATTGATAAAGCTCCTGGAGAGCGAAACGTTGCCACAATAAATGTCACAT